ACTCTAGTCATAAAATAGATACTGCCAGAATTGATGGGTAAAATAAAAACTTGAAAATATATTTCACAGACTGGAGGCCACAGAGCTTGTCAGTGACCAAGAAAATCAAAGTGAGCATCTCCTTCTACATGAGCCCCAGGCATTTCCTTGGTATTAACATGTAAATCCGAAGTCTTATCTTCACTCCTCACTCACCTCCCACCCAGGCTGCGCCTCTTACTGCGTTCAGGTGTAGTCCTAGGTTTTATCAGCCTGGCTGCCACGTCAACCATGGAGATGGTTGCACACTGGACTTCCCGAAAGCTATGTGGGCGCCTTCCCCAACCCCCAAGCAGAGATTAGCATATGATCAGTCTGGGTGAGGCTAAGCACTGATAGCCCCTAAAGCTCCCCAGATGATTTTAACATAAAGCCAGCCGGTTAACCACTAGATCAGTGTCTCCTCTCACCCCCATCCCCTCATATTTGGTAATACCTGGAGGATTTTTTGGTTGTTGGCTCCCCAGCACTCCCCAGGAGGTCAGTGATGCTGTCCAACCACCTACCATGCTCACAATGCCCAGCCCCATAATCATTAAAGAAATCATTAAAGAAAGTGTCCACAGCTGAGGTTGAGAGTTGGACATAGAGTATGCTACCTCCACCCTTGAGACTCAAAGCGCTGCTCAGTGGCATGACATGTGGCATGACATGGGTATCACCAGACACCTGTTAGCCATGTGGGATCCTGGGGTCCTCCCCAGGCCTTCTGACAGAATCTACACCTGAACAGGAGCCCCAGGTAGCTCAGGTGCAGGTCACAGTTCACGAGGCCTTGCACTGGGCAGCTTCCTCCCTCTCCTCTTCCCCCTGCAGATCTAATCAGATAACACATCCTGTCAGCACCATATCTTCATTCTCTCGAAAACTGTCCTGGCCCTTCCATCCTGAGGACAACTTTATCAGCCCAAGACTTCACAACTGGTCATCTGAAGTATTGCAATAACCTTCCAATGTGACCACCTCTTCTGTCCTAGTTGAGCACTTCACCCTTTCTGAGAGTTATGACACATTTGAAGATGGAAGAACATAAGCAAACTTCCCAGGGAAAGCACACACATACACGCACACCTACCCACCCTCACATACTCCTAACATATTGTACACAATTCCAAAAGGTTCGCAGAGCTTCTAACATGCTCCTCAGACCCCTCCAGGCAAAAATCTCCACGTTAGTCTCTGAGTAAGCAGATGTGAACATTTGGGTCTTCTGCTGAAAGCCCCAGCTCTTTGGTGGGGGTACACAGGCCCCCCACAATTTCTCTCCACCACCGATAGCACAGCCAGCAGCAGCCAACCACACTCATGGCAGCTGTCTGTGCAAGTGCTCTGCCCCACCCCAGAGTTTAGCAATGCTGTTCCTCCTGCCCAACGCACCCTTCCTTCCAGGGTTGCCAGGCTTAACCCTGCTCCCACTTTGGATTAGATTCCCTTTACTTGTGATCTCTTAGTTCCCAGAGCTTCCGTCTGCCACAGCACTTCCTGAAGTATAGGGGTGTGTGTGTGTGTGTGTGTGTGTGTGTCTTACGAGTCTCTCATCACATCTGAGTCAGGAAGGACAGCTTTCATCTCTGCAACTTCAGTTCCTGACACAAACAGCAGCTCATTACGTTACTAATAAACGTAAAAGAACAATAAAGGTAGCATTATTTCTACTCTACCAGATTGCTTTCAATGTATGCCTTGGTAGCTTGGTATTTTCCTCTTATTAAGGTATAATGCTTTATTTCTTAGTCAGCGTAGCGAGTGTATGAGTGTCCATGCTTTTAAAATACATTTTCTTATATTCCTGAAACATAAGTAAAAAAGATTAAAGGTATGATCACGATAAATGAATTAGTGCCTAGGTGCCCCCTGGGTTCTGAGGAAACGTACCCCAAGATCTATGCTCCCATGATATTGCCTCCAGAAGCTCAGTGCTGACTTCTGCAGGTCTTCCTCTGGGAATTCACAGCCATTCTCAGCTGATTATGGGACATAAGAATCTAGAAACATTTTCCACGTTTGAATGTCCAGTTGAAAGAGCTCATTAAGGACATAGATCTTGAATTCGGATAAGAGATAAAGGTTTTAGAGCTGGAAATGTTTATCATCCAAAACCTTTTAATAGGAACTAATGAACTGAGAGCCTCCCTAACACCAGGTCATCAGTTTTCAGGTAAAACCAGAATTTACAAACTCACCATCCTCATCTAGATAAATGTCGGGAAAGTTGCTCAGTAAGAACAAAGCGTATTCATTGAAGAAAGCCTTTTACAAACAAATAACATTAAAATATTTTACAGCCATGTTATTTTATATCTTCTACTCTTCTGCCATTACAGCTTATTTCTCTCTGCCTTCCAAAACAAACAAACATGAAAATGTCCTTGGCTTTTAAGGTGTCACCTCTTCTTTGCTTTGATTTAGTGCTCTTTGGCCACAAGCCCACTGGCACCCTGCCATGTCGTCAGGCTCCTCTGCACTGCCTTGGAAGGGAAGGATTTGGCATTGCAGCACAGGAAGCCTGCTCCGGCCAGTGTTCCTACAAAGCGCCCTCTGCATGGCAGCTACCATCTGTTCGGGCTTCTCACCTTAGACAGGGCAGGTCCTTGGGATGCCGCGTTCCCCTTCCCCCAAAACAATCCCTTTCCCCCAAGACACAGGCTCTGTCCACAGCCCCCAGGGAGACAGAAGGGCAGCTCCTTCTCAGGGACCAACATAAAGGAAACAGCAAACAGCCTACATATTTGAAAGCATTGACAAGGTCCTGTCTGAGGAAAACAACAACTAACAAAACAAAAAACAAAACAACTCTCTTCCAAACACCTTGAAGTCCTCAGTCTAGTATCATTTCCTCGCTGTCCTCATGAGTTAGAGCCACACTGAATTTGTCACAGCAGACAGGCAAGATAACAGAGAAAAACATGTCAACAGACCCCAGCCAATATGCTTTCGAGACCTTACATAAAGAGGGTGTTCTGCCAGTGTCTGGGGTTGGCCTTTGGTATACCTGGTTTGAGATCAGTTCTGCTACTTACCGGCTCTGTCTCAAAAAAATCACAGACTCTCTTTGAGCATTTTGCTCCCCGGTAAGATCAGAATGGAGATAAAAATAAAACTCATCTCGTAACGGCCTCTCTCATACTCTTCTTTAATTCAAGGAGAAGTTTTGCTTGAATTATCAGAGTAAGAATTTACAATGTCCAAACATCTTTGCTATATGAAGAAAATTTTTAACAGAAACCAATTTATGACAGTGAGAGAAGTTCTCTGAGCGGAAACTACCCTAGATTGGTGTTTTCCCACATTCTAGGTAAGAAAAACTAATCCTGGAATATTAGGAAAAAATAGTTTTCTCCCTTTGGAGCCAATACCTTTTCAACAAACATTCCCCAACAGTCAAAAAAAAAAAAATACATGATTAAGAGATTATTCCGTTAAGATTATAGTAGGAAAAATTCAGTTTGGCCTGAGATATCTGTCCAACTGTACAAAAAAATCAGTTAAAATCCTTATAGTACAAAATTGCATGCATGCACACACATTAACATGTATATATGGAGGTACATGTATTAGAATAAGAAACTAAGGTATTTCTCTTCCCTATGTGATAACCTTTTAAATGCTTTATCATTGAACTGTGGATGCTCTATGTCTTCACTGGGTGGGTAAACCAGTGGATTACCACAAAAGAATCCATAATGTGGTCAGGCACAGTGGCTCACATCTGTAATTCCAGCACTTTGGAAGGCCAAGACAGGTGGATTACCTGAGGTCAGGAGTTCGAGACCAGCCTGGCCAACATGGCAAAACCCCGTCTCTACTAAAAATACAAAACTTATCCAGGCACGGTGGTAGGCACCTGTAATCCCACTACTTGGGAGGCTGAGGTAAGAGAATCCCTTGAACCTGGGAGGTGGAGGTTGCAGTGAGCAGAGATCATACCACTGCATTCCAGCCTAGGTGACAGAGTGAGACTCTCTTTCCAAAAAATAAAGAAAATAATCCATGATGTACAGTTCAAATCTGTCCAATAAAACATTGATATAACACTTCACAAAATGCAAAAAACCTCTGCGTCTAAGGATCTATTCATGTCTCAGGCTCTGAGGTCAATAATTCCCTTCCATTAACAACTTCCTGTTTTGCTCTATAGTATCCTTCATCACACTGGACTCTTTCCACTATTTTGATTTTGCTTTTTTTTTTTTCCTACCCGCAAAATCATTGCACCTAAACAAGAAACTGATTTGTTTTTAAATCAGGTTTTCTTACAGAATCAGTGCCATAAGAGGATTAATTGTTTTCAATCTTTTTCTCCTCCCAGATCTATTTTTAAAACAAATTTTATTTTGGGATGTCCTGACTGGGATGATACTAAATTGAAAAGCCTGGTGCAAATTTTATTGACCTCCATTTCCTACTCTAAAGGATGTCCCCTACTAATCTGTCATCCACAGGGCAGACAAAGGCCAGAGGTCAGGGAAGCCAAAACAGATGGTGTGTGTAAGAAGCCCAGGACCAGACTCTTTATGTTTTGTTGATTGGTTTTAAAATAGTCAACTAGAAGAAAAAGGAAAAAACACATGGGCATTTTTCTTCTTATTCCAAGCTGTGCCAAACTAAATGTTACTCGCCATGTGCATGGCAAACACAGTGCCCACAAATAGATTCTTAATCAGTGTTTCTTGGGTATGATAGAATGAATGGATGGAATGATGAATGGATGATGGGGGTAGATGGGTGGATAAATAAATAAATGAGTGAATATTATTGACGATTTTCTATTTAAACCATGCCCAGAACACAAAAAGACAAACGTTATCACTTAGAAAACTGAATTACAGGCCAGTCATTCCACCTGCTGGTCATCACACGCTCTCCCCTGTGAGCATCCTGCGCGCTGGCCCCGCTGTGTTGTCTCCAGACGTGGTGGACATATTATGCAACAGATAAACAAGCGGCAGCTCTATTATCAAATCCTAAATTTCGGAATGATTGTCTTATTGGCACTAATGATCTGGAAGAGTTAATGGTAATAACTAGTAGTGAAAGTCCAATTGTAGTGGTGCTCAACGGCAGCATGGAACCTGCATTTCGTAGAGAAAATCTTCTCTTTCTAACAAGTCAAGTTGAAGATCCCATATGAGTGGGAAAAATTGTTGTTTTTAGTATAGAAGGAAGAGAGATTCCTATAGTCCACCGAGACTTGAAGATTCATGAAATGCAAAATGGGCATATCAAGTCTTTGACCAAAGGAGATAATGATGCGCTTGATGACCGAAGCCTCTATAAACAAGGACAGCATTGGCTAGAGAAAAAAGATGTCATGGGAAGAGCCAGGGAATTTGTTCCTTATCCTGGAATTGTGACGGTCGTCATGAATGACTATCCTAAATTTAAGTATGCAGTGCTCTTTTTGCTGGATTTATTTGTGCTGGTCCACCATGAATAAGAAGTCTGCCGTGCTGTTTCCGGGAAGATGCCACGCTTTTTGTTACTGGATGTTTGGAGTAGATATTGGCCTGTGATTGGTGGAATGGAGAACACACGTGTGCTTCTTGGCAGCACAGGTTTGCATTATCTTGTATTTCCACACTAGAGTTTGTGTGGGTGGGTACATGTGCACCCCACAGTGCACTTGAGGGGACTTTCAATCACAGGATTTCATAGTTGTCATTGTCACACTTTCACAGTTTTGTAAGTCAGTGAATTTTTTATATTAAAAGGTTGAGCCAAAAAAAAAAAGAAACTCTCTGAATTACAAAGTAAATGCCTCCCTACTTTTTAGAGATTAACAATGTGAAGTTTTGTCTATATCTTTCCCTATTTTGTCATATTTTAATATTTTCATTGTTTTATATTATTTATTTATCTATATATCATTAATTTTTCCCCAAATTATGATCACCATAGTGATCTACATCTCACTTTTTTCACTTATACATCAAGAATATTTGTTCATGTCAGTGTATAGAGATCCACATTGTTCTTTAATGACTCCATGATATTCTGTTGTATAGCCACACTGTGAGTGATTTAGCCTGACTCTTACTGAAAATTAAATCATGTTCAATTTTATGACATTACCACAATACTGTAATGTACTGCCTCATATGTATACTACTATGTCACTGACCATCTGTATTTTTTTGAATTGTTAATATGCTTTGCTCTTTTCTGCATTGATTTCTTTGTCAACTTTTTTTGTTGTTGTTTTGTGTTTTTTGAGACAGGGTTTTACTCTGTCAGCCCGACTGGAGTGCAGTGGCATGATTACAGCTCCCTGCAATGCCAGTCCTTCAGGCTCAAATGATCCTCCCACTTCAGCCCCACTAAGTAGCTGGAATTACAGGCACACATCATCATGCCCGACTGATTCTTTTAATTTCTTGTAGAGATGAAGAAATTATGTTGCCCAGATACTCCTGAGCTCAAGCAATCCTCCTGCCTCAGCCTCCCAAAGTGCTGGGATTACAGGTGTGAGCCACCACACATGGCCTATTTTTTATTTATAGAAACTCTGCACATTAGAAATTTTAATTTTTGTCATTTGTATGTGTGGCAAATATCTTCTCTCAATCTGTCGCTTGCCTTTTAACTTTGTTTTTGGCATCTTTCACTGTTTAATGCTTTTAAACTTTTCTATTGTCAAATTTATTTTTCCTTTATTGCTTTTTCTTTTCTAAATAATCCTAAGGAATCTTCCTCAACCCCAAGTTTACAAAAATATATATCTATTCTTGTTAGTTATACCTTTTATGATTGCAACTTTAATGCTGACTTAATATCCATGTATTTTACCACATATCCATGTATTTTACCACATTCCAACCCTTTTCAGAATTAAGTTACATGGATGTGACTCATTCTAGCCAATAAGATGTGGGCAGAGGTGACATAGGCAGTTCTATGTCACTTTTACCCCTGATCATGAAGGCCCCTGTGTGAACCTTCAGATCTCTCTTCCCCTTCAGCAGTACACCTTGAAACCAAATGGTTCACATTTTGTGGGAACAAAATGGAAGCAGCCTTGATCCCTGAGTCATCACATGGAAGGAAGCTTCCCTTGAAGAGTCTCCAGGCTTACTTCAGACTTCGCATAATCAAGAAAATTTCCTGTCTTGGTGTGGTGGCTCATGCCTGTAATCCCAACACTTGGGGAGGCCAAAGTGGGCAGATCACCAGAGGTCAAGAGTTCAAGACCAGCCTGGCCAACATGGGAAAACCCTGTCTCCACTAAAAATACAATAATTAGCTGGGCATTGTGACACCTGCCTGTAATCCCAGCTACACCAGAGGCTGAGGCAGGAGAATTGCTTGAATCCAGGAGGTGGAGGTTGCAGTGAGCCGAGATCGCGCCACTGCACTCCAGCCTGGGTAATAGAGCGAGACTCAGTCTCAAAAAAAAGAAAGAAAGAAAGAAAGAAACTTTCCTATGTTAAGCCACTGTGATCCTAAGATGTTTTTGCTGTTATAGTATAGTTAACCTAACAATGTTTTTTCCCTACATTTAGATGTTCAGTTCATCTACAATTTATATTTACATTGTGCAATGTGAGAATAACTTTGGTTTTTTTTCAAAATACTGTCATTATCATAATATTAAACTGTTTTAACTTAGAATCTTTAGAACGAAGACCCCTCCTTCAATGATTAGATGAGACACAAGATGGAAATAAATATTTGACTATTTGCAGGTCCAGGGGGTACACAGCATTCCTGGAGACCACACAATCACACACACACACACACACACACACACACACACACACACACACAGGTCAGAGAATGTGTGGAGAAAGGATCGATAGGCTAGTGCCTTTATTGGAGTCCGGGACATTATTCAAACAGATTTCCCAAGAGGAGTTATAGTTAGTGTATGCAAAGCAGCAAACACAAATTCCAGGTCACACTGTGACTGAGAGGCAGTCATGGCAGCACATCTGCACAGTCCATGCAGGATATGGGGGTCAGCAGGGCCAGTCAGGTACATTGTTTCCAGCTGTCCGATAGGGAGGGGGTTACCAGGAGGCAGTTATGTAAGGCAGATAGCTGCATCAACAACACTGAGCAGCTGGGTGTGGGAGCGGGGTGAGCATAGAACTGGAAACTGTGTCAAGAAAGACAAACTGATAAGAGAAAATTAAATATTCAAAATAGATGTTCAGGCGACATAAAATTATAAGATTCACTACATAAACCCATATATATCAATGTGTCTATTTCACATTCTCTCTTATGTACCACTGATCTATTTCTCTCTATATATACTACTAGCCAGCCATTTTAATCTAAGCAAATTTTTTCTTCTGACTCTTCTTTTCAAATGCTAACTTCATTGTTACAAATAAATTTTAAAACCAACTTGTCTATTTCCCAAAACAATTCCCTGGGATCCTAATTGGATTTGCGTTATCTTTGCATATTGACTTTGGAAGAAACAGCATCTGAATGCTATTTAGTCTTCCTGTGAGGAATTATTACAATGTCTCATTTATTTTATGTCTATTTTATGTCCTTTAATAAAAATATCTATAGAGCTCTAAGTTATTCTTAGGTGTTTTACAAATTAATTTTACAATATCTTGAACGTGATTTTTCCCATTTTAATTTCTAATTGTTCAATGCTAGTGAAAAGGTAATACTTATTTCTGTATTCCAGCTTATATAAAGCCATTTTTAAAAATTTTCTTAATAGAAAAAAAAATTTTTTTGAGACAATCATTTTTTTTTTTTTTTTTTTGAGACAGAGTCTCGCTCTGTCACCCAGGCTGGGGAGCAGTGGCACAATCTCAGCTCACTCAATCTCTACCTCCTGTCTTCAAGTGATTCTCCTGCCTCAGCCTCCCAAGTAGCTGGAACTACAGGCACTCGCCATCACACACGGCTAATTTTTGTATTTTTAGTAGAGACCGGGTTTTGCCATGTTGGCCAGGCTGGCCTCAAACTTCTGGGTTCAAGTAACCCACCCATCTTGGCCTCCCAAAGTGCTGGGATTACAGATGTGAGCTACCCTGCCTGTCCCAATCTGCTGAATTTATTACATTTTTTAGGTATATTGTCATATCATCTATAACTGATAAGTGTGTTTCTTTTCTTCCAAGGTCATTTTCCTGTATTCCTAGTTTATTTAAAGCTTTTTTATAAAGTGATTTAGGGCCAGATATGGTGGCTTGTGCCAGTAATCCCAGCACTTTGGGAGGCCGAGGCGGGCAGATCACTTGAGCCCAGGAGTTTGACACCAGTTTAGTCAACATGGCAAAAACCTGTCTCTACTAAAAATACAAAAATTAGCCAGGCATGGTGGCGCTTGCCTGTAATCCTAGCTACTCATGAGGCTGGGCCAAGAGGATTGCTTGAATCAGGGAGGTGGAGGCTGCAGTTAGCCTAGATTGCACCACTGCACTCCAACCTGGATGACAGAGTTAGACTCTGTTCAAAAATAAAAGATAAATAAATAAAATGGGACTTAGAATTCACTCCTAAATTTAATCATTTGTTTTTTGTGTCATGTATTTATATAATCATGATTTCCCCCTTAAAGTTTTAATATAATAAACAATTTAATAGATTATCTGAGGGTAAACAATCTTATATTTCTTTTATAAACCCTATCTAATTGTGCTATGTTTAAATCTTAACTGGAATGATATAAACATTTAATTCTGAACAACTGGAAGTAACCTGTAAGTCAGAAATTGAGGAATGGTTCAATAAATTAATGGGAAAGTAACATTATGAAATATTTTATGACCGCTAAATGTACAACGTAAACTTGGCTTAATCTGTTCAGTCTGCTAACAGAATACCATAGATGGGATGGCTTATAAACAGCAGAAATTTGTTTCTCATTTTCCTGGAGACTGGGAAGTCCAAGATCAACACATCAGTAGGTTCAGTGTCTGGCGGGGCCTGCTTCATACACTGCTATCTTTTTGCCTCTTCTCTGTGTCCTGACAAAAAGGGGAAAGAGGTTTCCTAGGGCCTCTTCTATAAGGACTTCACCCTCATTATATAATCACCTGTCAAAGCCCCGCCTCTAAATGCCATCACATTAGGCATCAGGTTTCAACATATGGATTCTGGAGGACACAAATACTAACTCTTCAACAGCGATATCTAATTCTGAGTTCCAATTTTAAATAGGATCTAAGTAGAAGCCTGGTTGTAGAATCTTGGGTAAAAGCCGGAGGTACTGAGGCTCAGCGTATGCTAAAGCTGCCTAAATGCCTTCTGCAGAAATCAGGATTGATCTTGGCTACAAGAGCAGGGCTGAGACTCATAAGGAGGCCATGAAGGTTGGGAATCCAGCAGGACTTGAGAACAAGGGGTGAGCTGCATGCAAAGGAGTCCGGTGTGTTTAAAGCATCACTGAAGCGGAAGTACCAAGACAGTTACAAATCTCTCATGGCAGCTGTGGCTGCCTATGTGTAATTCCACATTTAGAAACTGTGAGAAGGTCTATATGTCATAGTTTTATTGTTATCCATAAAACAATTTATGATATTTAC